CTCTATCTTAATGTTTCCTTCTACACGCTTCTCACTTATGGTAGCGCTAGATACCATAGAGGTTCTTCGAGGTGCTTGCAATTCCGAGCTGCTGATATTGCAGCGTACAAAGTACACTTTTAAAGTAAAGCTGGAGCTAGACGCAGCTCCGTCACTGTCGCTCATCTGGGGAGTACTTATGATGAACGCACCAGTACTGTCGAGTAAAGCAAGAACAGATGCGGCGCAAGTGGATACTTGCACGCTTTTCAATACGCGCAAAAAAATTACCTTTTGAAGACATGTACAACTTACGCTTAAACGGAGATTTCATTTTTTTAACGTGAAATATCCGTTGTCAGTGAAAGCGGATGTTGATACTACAAAATGATGTAAAGCTGCAGAGACTCGTAGTTTGCAAGTAGCTGCTTTACAAAAGAAAATGAGAAAGGATAGAAAAGACGAGAGAAGAGGAAGGAAGCGCGTGTTAAATGAGGAAAGGTTACGTTTTTGAGTAATGAACCATTAATCTTAAATACCTCCTTAATGGTGTCTAAATTTCAAAAGAATAGGTTAGAAACGTCAAGCAGCGGTAGAAAACTTCCTCTTCCCACGAATGGAAACGGATGCAGAATCTAAATTTCAATTAGACCGTTTGAGCATCAGAGTACGGGTCTAGTGGCGGTGTTGGTAGAAGTAGAATCTAGGGTGAGGAGAGAATTGTAGACTGGTGGTATTGTATGCAGACTTCAGATGAAAATTTAGCTTCTCTTCTAGGAAACGTTGTAAAATAATAGTTAAAACGTAAATCTGGTAGTTAAGAACGTGTTGGTTACGCAGTAATTTCAGTCGGAAGAGTCTAAATGTAGCTATCTAGAATGTCGTTAAGTTTATAAATCGTGTATATGTTTATGTTATTAATTTATTTTTACGAATAGAATTTGCGATTAATATTATACTGCATTCAGCTGTTGTTTTTATTATGAGAAGTAGACACCGGACTTGAAGGTAGAAAACCGTCAAAATATGTGGGCATTGTACGTGGAAAAACAGCAAACTATCAAAATTTTCAATACGTATTGAAGAAGACAAACTGTTAACATAAAGCTAGAAAATTCTAAAGTACCGATTGACTAGTCTAATGAAGATTGTAATAAAGTGAAAATAATTCCAATAAGTTACAAAAGTTCCGAATTT